TTTTTAAATATTTTTATTATCAAAAAATACAGAATTCAAATAAGTTTGTCAGGTTTGGTGGGGGGGGCAGAATAGTTGGGTTTACCACCAGCACAATGTTTTGGGTGATCAGTGGTGTGTATGAGACAGAGCTGAGCAAAACTGGGTAAAAGCAGGGGAAAAAGGATTTTTCTTCTTCTGTGTTTTAGTTTTGCAAATAGAAAAAATCAAAAGAAGAGAGAGGAAAGGAAAGGTGGAGAAGGAAGCAGGTTTTAAGAAGGAAAAATAAAAAATTATTTAAAAAAACCGAAAATGTTTTCTATAATCTTAAAACTTGAGGGCTGGAAGGGACTCTCAAGATAATCCAGTCCAGCCCCTATCAAGGAGGCACCGTGGGGGATTCGAACTCCCAACCTCTGGCTCCCCAGCCAGAGACCCCAAAGCACTGGGAGTTACTACTATTGCTTGTTGAGACTGTTTTAATTTTTTGGTTTCCATAACTCTCCAGTGGGCACCTTCTGCAAAGCTGACATACGTGCAGTCCTTTTATGCATGAATATATGTGCATATGGATATCTAGTGTGGTGTAGTGGGTGGAGTGATAGGCTGTGACTCAGATGGCCTGGGTTTGAATCCTTGCTCAGCTGTGAAAACTCACTGGAGGTGTGGATATCTCACTTTCTTTGAAAGTCCTCTTAGGGTTGCTATACGTTGGGTCGAACTTGGAGACATGTGATAAGATATACACATATCATCATGATTATCATCTTAAAATTGCAGAGCTGGAAGGGACGGAGGCCCTGTGGGGGATTCAAACTCCCAACCTCGGGCTCCGCAGCCAGAGGCCTTCTAGCCAGCTGATGAAGCTCTCCAGATCTTGGATTCTAACTCCCATCATGCTGGTCGGGTCTCTAAAGCTCCCTGGAAAATCATGGGCTCCCATTGTGAAAACAATCCATACTTTGATGATCAGGTGGTGAGGTGTCCTCAGGGGCGGCGTTCAACCTCGCAGGGCCGGCATCCTCCTTGTGTGCAAGAGAGATTCAAGAATCTCCCCGATGTAAGAAAGAGGAAATCTGGGAAAACCTGATTTCCTGGACCACAGAGATGGGTCTGAGACGTTGGGGGACTGGAGAACCTGCACACGTCTGCCAGAGGCCAGTGGTGTGTGCGTCTTCAGAATAGGCTGTGGGCAAAAGATCCCACACCTGATGTGCTCAAAATGTGCCACGCAAAGCCGTGGGAGGAGACCCCAAACTTTTATTGGTGGAGCAACGTTTCACTTTATTGGTAAGTTTCGTTTGTCTTCTTGAAAGGCAGACTCCATGCGGCTCCCTGGGGGTGGACGCTATAGAGCCCACATTGCCACGCATGATCAAAGACTCTGGAGGGCACATCAATGCACAGAAGGCTCCGCCCCAGTGGCCCGTATCCATTCTGCACTCCCATCTCCACTGGCTCTCTGTTTCCAACCAAAATATTATTTGCAGGGGGAATAGCTGAGTATCAGAAAATTTAAGCCTATAAACCATCCCTATGTTTCCCCCCCCATCCGCAAAATCCCAAGGATTTTCCACGGGGTGCAAACACTGTATTTCTTTTGCAACCTGTCTCTTCTCTCTGCAAAGTTTGCACACGGATTATCTGTTCTTTCGGAAGGGGGAAAAGCCGAATATTTCTCTTGTTTTATTTCAAACCTCGCCGCCTCTGAGTGTAGGTGTCTGTCTGTTTAATATTATTATTACTTTAAATGGATGATAGAGGAAGCTGATACAAATGGGGGGGGGACTTGTTTTATAAATGTGTGGTTCGCGTTTCCCCTCCTTTCTTTTTCAGCCAGCTGGGCTTGTAAGAAATGCTACCCAATCTACATACAAAAGATGAGGTGGAGAGGAACAGCAGGTCATTTGAAAAACATTTTTTGATCATTGAGACGAGATTATTGCAGGATTTTTTAAAAAACAGGGAAAAAGGAGAGAGAGAGAAAGAGAGGGAATTTAGGCTTCTAGGGTTTTTGTAAAAAAAAAACACACATAACAATCTTTTCCCCCACAAGGAAATGTAAGACTGAAAAATAAGAAAACCCGTCCAGTAAAATCATTAATCTGTGGCAAAGGCATTAAAAATAATAATAATAAATTCATAATAATTCATAGTCACAGTATTACGCTTGTGGGCCATATGTACAGAGATATAACAAACAGGTCGAACAGAGTCCGTTCTCTCATGGAAAGGAGAGCTGTGTGCCGGTCCTTTTCTGCAGGTTCCCGCCGTGAGAGATTGTTTCAAAAAGAGATTTCTACAAAGATTGTTGTGGTGTGTGTGTTCGGAGGAAGAAAAATTCGGGATTTTCTGTGGCTGGCCAAAGATGCAGGCAGCAAGCGTGGAGGGTCTGAGATTTGGATAAAATTCAAGAGCTTTTGACTTCATTCGAGTTGGGGACAATAATCCAGCAAACTCCACTGATGGTAACAAGGGGGTCTGGGACGAGAGCACGTGAGCCAAATCTGTCCTTACAAGAACACCCTCATTGGACCTCCGGCCCCATCTCCCTGCCTCTCGACCACCTGCTATTGGCTGGGGAGTGGATCAGCCTCTCCCTCTTTCTTCGACATTAAGGAGCTGGGGACGGAAATGGAAAAAGGGATAGGAAGGTGGAAGGAAGAGGAGAATGTCATTTTGTATGGTTCCGAAGGAAAATGTAGCTTTTTTTGGGGGGGGGGAGAATCTCAGAGTGTTTCGCCAAATGCTTTTCTTGAGGAGCTTTTCAAACACGGTTCAGCCCCTAATTCGAATTTCGCTGATTTGTTCAGGTGGCTCTGAAGTCCATTTGCAGGGTTGTAAGTGAAAAGAACGGCCGGGGCACCTGGGAAAAGTGTATTGTCTTGCCTCAGATACAGTGTCTATTAAACTAGGGGGCTGTTTCCTCCACTTGAGAGAGTGGAGGAAAGAGAAGACAGTGCATCCACTCTGGGTTTGGGTCCGAACTCCACGGGAGCAATCCATAGTGTGGCTGGTCTTGCCACAGATCCAAGGAGGGAAGAGGTGGCGCATCCCCCTTACTGTGACCTCTCTTGCACAGCTCTCAGCTGGACGGCTCCCGAGCCCTGATGTCACCAATCGGTTGCCCTACCTTGCGATGGTGGTGGTAGAATTCAGTGCCCCGTTCTGCATGGGGCAAAAATATTTTGCTAGTGGCTCCAATCCATTTCAGAGAAAAACAATTTCTTTTTAAAAACTTCCCAAGCTGCTCGGTTGTCCCAAGCTGCCTCTCCCCCTCTTGCTCTCCCCAGTTGGACCAAATTAGGAGAATATTAATTAGACATTTGAAGGGAGAGAGTCAACTCTCACAGTGCTGGGAACGTGTTTTTGAACTAAGGATGTGCCAAACGGTTGAAAAAATTGCACAGGCATCACCGTGCAGCAGCAAGAAATCCCAGTTTCTCCTGAAAACAAAAACCTCAGTCCTGTTTTCTCATTTTTTCTGTTTTTTTTTCCTTTTTTGCTTGTTCTGTGCAGGAAACGACAAAATCCTGGGCCGCTTTGTCCCCTTTCTGGTGCATCCTGTGCAGGACATATGCCATCATGCACAGGAAGGTTAGCTGTCCTGCACAGGTCCCCTTTCTAGAGAATCCCATGCAGAACAGATACCGTTCTGTACAGGAAGTCTAATAATCTTACATTTTGACACTGCCATAAAATTTCCTAGGCTACAGAAGCTGAAACTAAGAGCCAGCATGCTGGAGAGCTTCAGGAAGTTCATGCTGAAACCCAGAACGGATTCACTGCCACTGCTAACCGATCCCCCTCCATGAGGCCCTCATTTCTGCATAAGGGCTGGGAAAAGGAAGGAGACAATGTGAGCCAGGATGGAGAGGAGGGATGGGCAAGAAAAAGAGTGGAAGAGGCCCAAATCCTGCTTTCTACTTTGCTCTTCATGGGTCCCAGTTTTAAATTCGAGAGCCTGAGTCGCTCCGTCTGAAAACTCACCTGGAAAAGAGGGCTTTTCCGGCATTGAGCGACAGATTAAATTGATGGGATTGGCCTGGCAGGTGAGTGGGGATGATGGGCTTCTTGATCCCTGCCATCTTGGCGGTTCAGCTCCCAGGAACCTGTCATCGCTGTGGCTGAACATTTTACCAGCGGTGCTTGGGTTAAGTCGTGTCAAATGTTTGATTCTCCTTTGCCGCACTTAATTTCTTATTTAAAACAAAAACTAGAGGTTAGAATATTTCTAGTCCCCCAGTTCTCCGTCTGTTAAAAAATGTGGTCCCGTGGTAAAATCTTCGGAGAGCTACCTTCTCTTCCTTGAAGCGATCCAGTCTGTCGTCCCGAGAGACGTGGGACCGGCGGAAAAATGCATCTAGATACGAGCGAGAGGTAAGTCCCTCACTTCCTCCGGACCACAGAGCAGGGTTGGACAGTTTTGAGGCCAAGGGAATGCCGACCGGTAGATTTTCGACCAACAGGGTTCTAGTCCTCTGTGTTCCTCTTCAGAGGCAAACATCCGGGTCAATTTTGCATGCCAGATGTCCAAGGAACGCTTTCCAGAAGCGGACATCAGTTCCCCAAATGGGTCTCTTTTGTCTGCTCTAAAGTTAAAAGTGACCCCATTGAAGGGGGCACGGAGGGAAAGCACGGAGAATTCCCATACGGGGCACAGAAAAAAGGTCTTATTTTGCCACTTCACCACTCGGAGTCCCAGACAGCTGGGAAAATTACAGAATATGGGACAAATTGAAATTAAACCCGAGAGACACAACACCCCCCCCACCCCCCATAAGACTATATTTGGTCTAGATATTTGAAAAAGAAGATCCCCATCCCAAGGAGAAGAGGGGAAAACCCAGATCCCAAGAGGGTGTCATGCCCAGCGCCTGGTGAAACGGGTCTGTCAAGAGTCTTCGGAAGCCTGGAACCAGCTCGGCTCCCTCGACAATGTTTTGATTTTAACAATTCTCCCGCCACGCCGTTCTCCTGATCTTCTGCACAGACGGCCTCGTCCTCCGTGATGTTCATCTGGCCTAGGGCAGCGCCGGACGCTCCATCATCCACCCCACCTTGTAGCCAACCTGCACAAACTGGACCACTTTGCTCGTTTTAACCGATCTGGCGAAAATAATAATGATAATAATTTTTAAAAAATTGAAATCTAGGGTTCCTCTCTTTGCTCTGGGTCCTCTCCAGTTGTCTCTCTTTCTCTCCTTGGTTGCCCCATGATGTGTTTCCCCAGCACTCCGCTGAAAGGGACATTGGTTTTCCTCTTCCCGTGCTTTTCCGCAGGGGCTAGGAAGTCAAAATAATCCAGAACACTGGCACAACCACGAAGAAGGCATCAGGGACAGTGAAGCTGCAACAGGAGTTATTGCTGGTGAAGATCGGTTCTGGAGACTCATACAGAGAATCGTCTGAAAGAGGAAAAAGATGAAGGAATTTAAAAAGGGTTGGGACGTGGCTGAACACACTCATTCAAGCAACTCTCCCCGGACCCACGAAATGTATTTCTTCTTTTGGTTTATTTGAGCCTAGATTTGTAACCCCCCCCCTTTGACCCACATTTTCTCCCCCAATGGTGTATGAAACGACCCGTGCAATAAAACGTGCGGGAATCGGATCGGCCAGAATCTGACTCAAAACGGCATGGGGTGTAGCGGGGAAAGCCCCGCTCGGTACAAATTCGCTCTCGTTGATCGAATCACGCGATTCAGCGCACAAGGAGAAACACAAGTTGGCAGAGCTCCTTTGATAGCAGGCCTCAGGCAGGGGTGATTCACCGCAGTTGCTTTGCATGGGCATGTGTGAAGAACAGGATTCGGGCCAGACTTTGCTTGAACCAAAAGTAGACTCTTAAAAAAAACCAGGCGAAATATCCGTTCATTTGGACCCATGCATTGAAGCAGTCTTAACCACCAGTCAGCCGTGTATTTCTGCCACCCAATGCCGAGCCTGCTGCTTCTAAGGATGATGGTGGCAACAGTGGTAGGTAGAGAGGTTCATCTGTAACAGGGACTCCCTAATGCAACTTGGAAAAATGGCTCCAAGTCCCAAGTCAAGTCTGAGTTGTTGTTTTTTAAGAAAGACCCAAGTTGAATCCGAGTTGCATCACTGGTGTGACTTAAAGTTGTGAGTTGCGAGTCGCCTTCCCTGGCGCTTTCCTCCCAGGGTCGTGTTGGCATTCAGCAGGTCTGGCTTTCAGAGCGAGAAAGCCACCCAGGCCGCCTTCTGGCATTTTCCTGGCCTTTCCAAACAGGGATGAAGCATTTCGCCCCAACGGTGCTCAGCTGGTTTGGTAGAACAGTTTCAGATGCCAGGCGCACCTCGGGCCGGGGGTGACAGCGCGTTCGTTGTTCTCGCCGGCGTCCGGGCCCGGTCGGCACGACATCTCCGAAGGTCACAACAGCGAGCGTTTTGTCACTATCCAACCGTCTGGTTTCCGAAAGCATCCCTAATCGACCGGACATTGCCGAGGGAATCCCGCTAAAAGACATGGAAAGCCATCCGCACGCCGTTGGCCAGCTTTCCCTCTCTCTGGTTGGTGCCCAGATTAAGGGTGGGGTGTTTTGGGTATTTTTGCCAGCATTGCCAGCATGGGAGAAGAGGGAGGCGTGGAAAGAGAATAGAAAACTGAATCGACCAAGCCGGAAATGCAAAATCTCAGGGTTCGCTCCCTGGTCTCCCCAAGTATGATAACTTGCCACGAAAAATATTATTGCTAGCAACACTAGCATTCTTCCTATCACATTACATCCAGGAATAATGATATTATTGCTAACCATTGCATTTTTACTAACCAGAGCACTATTGCTAGCAACAACTGCCATTGTTGACGGAGAACTGTAATCAGGAGTCTTTAGCATGGTGAGTGATCTTTGTTTTTATTACTAGAGTATTAGCATGAGGCACAGTGTTGTAATCATCAGGGGACAACAGTGTTATGACTCTTGCCTGCCACAAGAAAAGCAATAGCATTATTACTAAGAAAATGCTTGGCATAATTACTGTGCATAGCTATCGATCGATATGGAGAAAATCACTACATTTCATGTACCTTGATGGAGGACATATGTAAAGTTCACACCAAAACCTGTAGCGGACTCTCCTCAGCCCCAAACACCCAGCTGCGTGATCTCTACCCAATGGCTGAAGATCCAGAAACCCCATGAAACTGCATGGGGCTAAGAACTGTCGCTGGCAGAAGCTATACATAAAAATGGGGTCCTCACCTTCCCATCCAGAAGCATGCAGCCCATCACGCCCCCAACACTTAAAATCAAGATGAACCCCAAACAAAACGAAAGCTGGCCTTATTATGAAGATGGTGCTTTTTTTGGACCCTTCCATTAGAGTTTCATTTGTTCAAGACTTCTTGATTGTTTTTTTAACTCATTAGCTCTCATTTGTGCCCATTCGGGCACATACAAAAGACAAAAATTTGGGGAGGGAGCGACTCGGAACAAAAAATGCACTTCTCTTTTCAACATGGACATTTCTGGCTACTTAACACACTCGCTGGGAAGAAATGTTGCCAAATACTAATTAGACGGAAGCAGGACAGAGGGAAATTATTAATTTGTGTTTTCTCTTTCCCCTCCACACAACAGCTGTGTTATTTGATATTTTATAAAAACCCAAATAACCCCTGTACAGAAAGCTGGGGGTTTTGTTGTTTCCATCTTAAGTAGAAATAAAATAATTTGCTCGCGTCTCCCTCGATCAAAACGCAGCCGCCAGCCAAGGGACCTCTGAGTTTTGGCAGCAGGCATCAATCCACTATTTCCCCCCTCCCCTTTCTTTTCAACCCCCAAACAGAACAAAAAAACAACAGAATTTTGCCAGAGATCCAAAGGCCACCTTGACATTACCTCCATCTTTGCCTTTCTGCCTGTGCCAGGAAAACAGGAAAGGTTAAAACAGGTTCCTATGGTTTTTGAGGGTGTGGGTGTGAGCTACCTTTAATGGCTGTTGCTGTTGTTTCCTCCTTGAACCGATTTTGGCACAGAACCAAAAGAAAAACATGAATTTTATTATTCCACTTACGGACATGTTATTCAGAACAGGGGGGAAATAAGACACAGAGAAGATCTGAGTGGTGTGATAACACGGATAGACAGATTTCAGAGGGGCTCAACCACCTAACACCCACACAGGTGTTTCAAAAAAGCTTTTTTCACGGAAAACAACTGCCATTTTTAAGGGTCTCATTTCTGCTCAGATCAGATCCTTTTAAAAATCCCAAACAGGAAGCATCCAGGTCTTTTTTTTTTTAAAGGTCGGACCGCCCTATGAGCTGAAATGTTCCCAGTACCTGGAAAAACGGCTGACAGCTGGATGCTCTTATGAATGGAATTCCCAAGTTGGCTTTCCGTCTTTCCTGCCCTGTTTTTATCCTTCTGGAAGCCCATCAATGACCCGAAACTGGTCGGGACGACAACCTCGGAGTCCAAAAACTGCAAACCAGCCATCATGAGTTGCTACTCCGGTTCTGGCCAAAATCCTGTTGGACTCTTACTCCAATGGCGTAAATTTTGGAGGTGAATTGGCTCCCATTAAGAAATCTCGGGCGACATGACCTGGCGCGTACCGAGTCGCGTCACTGGGGGTGCCGCCGGGTCTACAGAAAGGCAAATCTGGGCTTTGTAGTTAGAGAAACAAAGCATATGCCTATAGAATTGCAAAATAATCCAGATGGCCGACACCAGTCTCTTGCCTTGGCCCAGCTTTGCATGGTTTGGGGGTACAGTACTTCTAAAAAAACACGTATGCCAGGGCTGAATTTCCCATGGAGAATGGTCTGCAAAATGTCCCCGTATGATCGCCGTAAAGCAGTATTTCCCTTCCTTTTCAGCTAGTAACTCGAGTTTCTATTGGTTAACAAGCGGTGCATTTACCCAGCGGGGAACATAATTTCTCAAGGAGCCCGAAACCCCAACCACGTGTATTTTTACCTCTCTGTAGATGATACTTACTTGTTGGCCGGACATAAACTTTCAGCTTTAAGCACGGCCTGTCGACCAGGTTTGGTGGGGTGGCCGCTGCGAGAAAAAAAGGACAGAAGAAGGGAAAAAAGAGCAGTGTTAGAGAACAACATGTTTTTTGCGTCCTGGGTTCAGGTTTCATGCAGAACAAATTCTCCCTTACAGTTTTCTTTTAAAATCCCCCAAAGACCGTCCAGCGGGAGGCCACGCATGTGCATTTTGGCCACAGGTTTCCATGTTCACAATGCACTTTCCCTCTTCCTTTAGCCTCTGCACGACTTATGGGCTGCCTTTTGAAGAAAATCCACCAAACGTATGGCACAAAACAGACCCAGCCGGAAGAAAAGCATGTCTCTGAATATATTCCGACCTTAAAGATTTTTGTTTTTCCATCAGCAAACTGAGCAGGGACACCAGTACGAGGGTGTTAAATCATTAATTTATCCAATGCGGTGATAGCTGCAGTGAACAGGTTGCAAACAGTATCTATATTTTTATGTATTTATATATAAAACATTTCTACCTTGTTGTTCTCCTTAAGAAGAAACCCAAGGCAGGATAACGTCCTTCAAATATATTTAATATTTGAAGCTATTTAAAGCTTAAAACCATATTTAAAGCTAGAAATAAGAACTATACAAATACTAAAGAGAGTCAAATAAATACCACAATAAAAGGTGGTGAAAAGAAGCAACGTCCAAAAACGCATTCAATTTAAAAAAACAAAACAAAAACCCACTCAGACAGCCAGTCATTATGGGAAAGCTGGCCTAAAAAGAAAGGCCTTCAAAGATAGAAAGCATTATTTTGAGGGGGGGAAGGGGAGAGAGAAATGAACATATTTAAGACCACAAGTGAATTTTGAATGCACAAAAGTCAGCGATACAGAAATGCAGGAAAATCAAAACCGACACACATTTATTTATTTATTATTTATTTAATGTATTTTTACACTGTCTTTGTCCTTAAAGAGAACCTGAGGCAGTGGGCGGCGTTGACAGACAATGGGAATGGCTTTCCGCCTCTGTACTTTTGCCTCACAACGACCCTACAAGGCAGGTCAAGGAGAGAAAGAGAAATTGAGGGTCACCAGGAGAATTTCGTGGCTTTGTAAGGAGCCCCAACCCAAGCCGCTAACCACTGCGCCCTCTGGCTTCAGGACCCGAACTACCTGTGTTATTTTTCGTTCTCAGAAATATGCTTGTATTTCCAGTCACCTGGTAGAGGTGTGAAAGCTGGACAGGAAATAAAATGGACAGGAAAAAAGATTGGATTCCTTGGAAATGTGGTGCTGGAGGAGAGCTTTCTGGGCCCCCTGGACTGCCAGAAAAAAACGAACCAACGGGTCCTTGGAAATGTGGTGCTGGAGGAGAGCTTTCCAGGTCCCCTGGAGTGCCAGAAAAAACGAACCAACGGGTCCTTGATCAACTCAAGCCTGAACCCTCTCTCTGGAGGCAAATTATAAAGAAACTGAAGCTGTCCAACGTTGGGCCCATCCTGAGAAGGCAGGATTCCCTGGAAGAGACGATAAGACTGGAGAAAGTGGAAGGCAGCAGGAAAAGAGGAAGACCCAATACGAGATGGACCGACTCTGTCAAGGAAGCCATGACGTTTGACTCTGCAAGAACTGAACAGGGCTGTGGAGGATGGGATATTTTGGAGACGGCTCCTTCCTAGGATCACCTTAAATCAGAGGCGACTGGATGGGACAAACAACACCGGAAATATTCTATATATTTCTTTTTTGAGTTTTTTAAAAAACATCAATCCTATCAATCTGTCAGGATTGTGACAGACCACAGTGACTAAGCCCTGATTTGCTGTTTGACCCAAGAGGTTCCCAGTCCTATTAAAGGAGCTTAAAGATCTTTTTAAAAAAGCCTCGTCTGTTCGGCTCCGGCTTGTTAAAAACCCCACCTTTGATCGGCCGCCGCAACCGATGTCAAAAGTTGCCCGACCCCGCAGGAGGAGCAGGAGGGGGGGTGTCTTTCTCTCTTCGACGTGTCTGGATTTGGCCCGATTCAAAAAACCTGCCAAGGTAAATGATACGGTTCGGCGAAAAGCCGTCCCAGACCCGAGGAGGCGTAAGTGGGGCTGACAGAAGGCAGGCGGGAGACTCGAAATCAAACCTGGGTTGTGAAAAACAGGGCTTTGAGCTTTGAAGCGTGAAATCTCAGCCAATGAGGACGGGATGGGTCTAGCTGAGAGAAAGGGGAGCTGTTTTTGAGGGGTTTTTTTTCCACCCACAAAAAGGGGAAGAAATTGGGAGGGAAAGGGACAGAAGGGATGTGATTGGACAAGATGGATTTGAACTCGCTCCTCAAAGGATCAGATCTGACAGCCCGCTTCCGGAAGAAAAAGCCGGCGCTTCCCCCAAACGCTGAGCAGAGGGGGGGGGAGAAGAATTTAAAAAATGAAAGTTTTCCATCGAACCCTTATTGGTCCCATCATCGTATTGCTCTAACAACTAAGACGTTTGTCTATGATATTCATCCAGACTCCAGCTTCCTGTCGCTCGAGCCCATTCTGACGGGTCCTGTGCTCGGGGAGGATGGAAGACAGATCCTGCCTCTCTTCTGTAAGACAGCGGCTCGGATTTGAAAAGCACTCTCCTGTCTCCCCTCCGTCTTCTTTTCTCCAAGCTTTCGCCATTTGTCTCTAAAAGCCAGTGAGACTCCCATCCCCATGGCCCTCAAAAGCCAGAGCATGTTGGCCGACGAAGTTATTTTGGCACCTGAGATGAGAGTGTTTGAAAGGCACCTTTTTTATGACCCCGAGAGGTCTGTGTGCTTCGCAGGGCAGCTGAGGTTCAGGAAAGCACCCTTGATTTCATTGCACAGCTGAGGTCTGGCAAAGGCCATGTTCGTTCATGTTCCTTTTTTTGCATGCTTAAAAAACAAACAAACCATGAATTAAAACCACAGAACTCGAGTCGTGGATGGACCTGTTACTCTGAATCTCCCACATGTTGTTATTCCGTTTTAAAGTCTCAAATTCTTTCCTGTCTCAGCTGAGCCATAATGACCCATAGCCACCAATTTTGGCACTGGGGCAAAAAGCACCATCTCTCTCCACCCCCAATCCTGCACCCAGGCATGGGGAGAAAAAAGGAGGAAAATGTAGTGCCAATCCCCCCTCAAAGAAACAG